ATCGCCCCTTTCGTCACTTTTTTTAATTATTGGTGTGAGCACCTCGCACAGGGAGAGTATAGACTACAAATAGTCCTCGAGTTACAACAGTTCATTTAGTGACTGTTCAAAGTTACAATGGCACTGAAAAAAGTAAGTTATGACCATTTTTCACACGACTGTTGGAGCACCTCTATGGTCACATGATCAAAATTCAGCCACTTGGCAACTGACTCCTCCCGTGGTCATTTTTGCACCCTATTGACAAGCAAAGTCAATGGGGAAGCCAGATTCACTTAACAACTGCTACTAATTTTAACAACTAGAGTGATTCACTTAACTGTGGCAAGAAAGGCCACAAAATGAGGCAAAATTCACTTAACAGCTGTCTGAACAGACATTTTGGGCTCAGTTATGGTTGTAAGTTGAGGGCTACCTTTGTATGAAGAAGTTGTTCTGAATCTTGAGAATGAAGCTGTTTGTAAGGTCTGTGAAAAACAATCATGCTTTAAGCTTCATTTCCTTCTGTTTCTGAACTAGTTCAGAAAATTAATATACTTGCAAATGAAGGTGCATATGCTTGCCTCAGTTCTTTGGGACATGTTTTCAATCACCTATATGTTGAGAAATATGCAACACCCAAATTTATTATAAACTATCTTTTGGTTTCAGCTGATTGTTATATGGGGTTTTTCTATGCATGCAAGCAAGGTTCTACATTTAGGCAAGAAAAACCAAATGCACAAGTACAGCATAGGTGGCACCATGCTCAATAGTAGTAACTGAGAGGGACCTCAGAGTCCTAGTAGACAATCACCTAAATATGAGCCAGCAGTGTGCTGCAGCTGCCAAAAAGGCCAACATATGCTAGGCTTCATTAACAGAGGGATAGAATCAAGATCATGTGAAGTATTAATACCATTTTACAATGCCTTGGTAAGGCCACACTTGGAATACTGCATCCAGTTTTGGTCACCACGATGTAAAAAAGATGTTGAGACTCTAGAAAGAGTACAGAGAAGAGCAACAAAGATGATTAGGGGACTGGAGGCTAAAACATATAAGGAACGGTTGCTAGAATTGGGTATGTCTAGTTTAACGAAGAGAAGGACAAGGGGGGACATGATAGCAGTATTCCAATATCTCAGGGGCTGCCATAAAGAAGAGGGAATTAAGCTATTTTCCAAAGCACCTGAAGGCAGGACAAGAAGCAACGGGTGGAAACTAATCAAGGAGAGAAGCAACCTAGAACTAAGGAGAAACTTCCTGACAGTGAGAACAATTAATCAGTGGAACAGCCTGCCTCCAGAAGCAGTAAATTCTCCAACACTGGAAGTTTTTAAGAAGAGACTGGACAGCTATTTGTCCAAAATGGTGTAGGGTTTCCTGCCTGAGCAGGGGGTTGGACTAGATGACCTCCAAGGTCCCTTCCAACTTTACTACTACTACTACTACTACTACTACTACTATTTGTTATATCTTTTATGATTATTTCATTATTTATATATCTTTAGGGCTTTTCTGTCTGTTGTGACCATCCAAACATGTAAGAGGGGGCAGTTAATAAGTGTCCTAAATAAATAAATACAGTACAGTACACCTGTCAGGTCATTTTTCAGAATTCCTTCTACAAAGTAGATAACCACCTTCCAAGAATTGTATTACATTCATGTCTTTCCTTGTTCGTTAGCTAGATACATATCCTGCCTGTTCTTGGAGTGCAAGGTGATGTACATAGAATTGTCCAATTTCTTTCTCCTCAACAGTAATCCTGTGAGGTGTTTTCAGACAATATTGTGTTGGCATAACACTAATTCATCAGATTACTGACATTTTGGCTTAGTGAGTGACATGGATCCAGTGGGTTGGATTAATTTTTAAGAATGAGCTCAGCAAGCCCAGAAATAATGATTAAGAGTGGGTTCACTGAAGCTATGTAGCTGAGGATGCATTTGGACTTTGGCTCTTTTTTGTTTCAAATTACAGAAGAAGCGTTAATGAAATGGGTGTGGCTAGAAAAAGGGTGGGGCAATAAAAACAGTCAAAGTTACTCACCAACAGTTCTTGGCATTATTTCAGAATAAATGTATTCACCCAGGAAAAGGTGGAGTAGAAAATCATCTTTAATTCTTGCTTGGCAGCCAGAACACGTTCATTCAAAAAACTTGCTGTAGGCGCGCAATATATCTGTGGCATGGGTGTGGTTAATATAAGGGAACCATATTATTAAATGCTGAACAGGCCATACATTCTAGATAATTTGTTATTCCCTTCAGCCATGCAACACTCTTTTCCTATGAAACAAGTACCAGAGATTCACAATCCTTTCTTACAATGAGTACTGTATGCAATTTCCTCATTCATTTAGAAAATTAGTTGCATACCTAACATAAATTACTAGATACCTTTTAAGTATTTCACTGGGAATTTAATGTTTCTGAAATTTCCTTTTTATCAGTTTACTATGATGCCTAATAATCAAATCCTGATTCAGCATGTTTGAACATTCCACGTGTTTCAGGTAAGGATAGATAAAATTTTCTGATCTCTTGCCAAGTCAGTATATTTTTGCCTAACAATATATACCTTCAAATAGATTTAAATATTGGGGTTCCTTAAAGTTCACAGCCATCAGTTTCTCACTGTATATATGAGCTTTGTATCTGAAATATTAATAATGAATTGAAAGGAATTTAAGTTTTTTCAAATGTAGCTGAAAGAAAACATAATCCTGGGACATGTATATTTGCCTTCATTTATGAAAGAAAAACAATTTATTTTGCTCTTTAATTAGAAAAAACATAACTGTTAAGAAATACAACTTTTAACTCCTAAGATACTCCTTCAGATGAAAAGGGCTACCCTATTTACATGTGGTAACAGAAAATTTATGTCTATATGGGGGATGTACTTTATAGTGCAGACATGTCAAACACAAGGCCCGGGGGCCGGATGCGGCCCGCGAAGTGGTTTCATGTGGCCCGCGAAGCCATCCTGGAAACAGTGAGGGAACGGCTCCCACTGCCTTGGCCCTGGCCCAGGCTGGCCGGGAGCCAATGTACAATTTTGTGGTGGCCATCTATGCTGAAACGTATTCAGTCTTAGCTCCACAAGGCCATCTGGGAACAGCGAGGAACCAGCCCCTGCCACATCGGCCCCACCCCCTGGGTGCATGCTGGGGAGGTATCACCCTTTGTGACGAATGAAGAAATGGACCATGCCTTGGTGCTTGCCCCGGTCCCACCCCCTTCTGCCAGAGACCCTCAGATCTGTCCCACTCCTGCCCAGGCCCCCACAGGCACCCTTGATGCGAACGATGTAGAGCTGGCCATGCCCACCCAGTAGGCCACACCGACCCCATCCACGCCCACCCAGTAGGCCACACCCACCCGCCCCCCTGAGGGCAACCGCAATGCTGATGCGGCCCTCAATGAAATTGAGTTTGACACCCTTGGTATAGTGGCAAATATAATCAGCATTTAGCTGTAAGGCAGTTACCTTTTTTACTTCATTCTTCTCTATATGAGACTGTTCCTATTGTACTTTGTGCAAATAACAGTGTATATGCAAGGCTTATTTCATACTTTATGTTACAGTAAAACTGTTCCATAACAGCTGTACATATGCTTGTCACATTGCTACTTTCCCCTTTGGGAGAAAATTGTATTGTAATCAATCTTTTTTATTAATTTTATTCCTCAACATATGTTAATTTTTCCAATCAACAAGTTGTCTGGATTTGCTAAGCTAATACATGTTCAATTCCTAATCCTTCATTCTTTTCTCTAACCAAGAATAAAATAAATTCCAAATTTGATAGTAGTCCGTATCTTTTTTGTCTTTCAGCCTCATAGTTAGTCTGTCCATCTCTGCACATTCCAATATTTTTGTAATTATTTCTTCCTCTGATGGCAATCCTTCATTCTTCCAATATTGTGCAAAAATTATTCTCGCTGCTGTGGTAATATATAAAGTTAAATATAATTTCTGCTTATTAGTCTTTTCAGACATAATGCCTAGTAAAAAAAGTTCAGGTTTAAAATCCACTTGTACATGGTGTTAGGTATACCACTCAAAAAATGGCCAAAAAGGGGACTGTGTATGTTACAGTTATATCTTTGGGAATTAGATTACTAAAAAATATCAACAGCATTGTCAGCATTAATACTTAACGGTGTTTATTATATAAGGTTTTTTTTTACCAGTTTATGTTTGGCCTTTCTGTTGGCTTGCATATTCATGGTTGGTGTTTATTTTGGGAAAGCCTCTCTGAAGAGGCCATTTCTCAAGCTCATGAACTTGTTGTGCTTTTGGTTCAACACAGTAATAAGGTTCTTTTATTGACACACATTTTTTTAACACTAGTTGCAATTATGAGCTTATTTTTCAGAAGAACAAACAACCAGTGATAAATACAGGAAGAGATTTTATAGCTGTGTCTAAAATCAAAAAGAACGTAGTAACGCTTTAAGAATAGCACATTTTAGTGTAAGACAGAAGTTTTTGTTAGCTGCAGCTCACTGCATCAGATGCATGAAGTGTCTTGACTGAGATAATATTAAATTCATTGGAATGAAGTAGAGGGAAGGATGGGAAGACAAGGTGCTTATGCAAAAGAAAATTTTATGGGAGACCGATTATAGTGGGAATAGGTGTATTACTTTGTCCTTACCTCTGTTGGTAATGTGCTTTTTATATGCAAACTGTTGTTTTATCAGTTTATATTTCACTAAAACATGCAGTAAAATAATTAAGAAAACTATCTTTTGAAAGGATTTCTGCTCATGATCTTAGGAAGCAGTCCCAGATGGTGACTGGAGTAATAGTAAATAATTAATTTGCACATACCTTCTCTTATAAATTATTTAAAGTCCTTACAGTGCAGGTAGACATGCTTATGAGAGCCTCAAATGTTATGTTTCACTTCTAAATACCGGTACATCATAATCAGTCTTAGTGAAAATAAACATTAGTTGATAAATAGATTAAGCTGAATTTGATTTTCTCACCAGGGTTTCAAAATGTTGGCTTGTTACTCTATTCCCTTTATGCTATCACTGAATAATGGCAGGAACAAAGAAGCAGGTAACAAGGTGAATGGTTGCATTATTAAAGATACTGTACTTCTCCAGGTCAGTATAGAGTTACAACTGACGAAACAAAGTACAGCTAATAAAGAAGAGCCCTATATTTTGGTTACAACTAAACTAGATTGCAGAAAGAATTTTTATTTTGCCTGCTATAACTATCTTTGTTTCTTGGAAAATTAAACAAATATTTTCCTATAGTATGTAAGTATAAAGATTCATTATTGATTTACCATTATGTGATATATAGAGTATATATACTTTCTCTTTTTTGTGTGTCTAATTAAATTTCTTATTTTCTGTATATATTGAAGTCATTAGCAAAATACACACATATATATACATAGTGACTTTTATTTGGAGAATATGTGTATTGGAAAAAAGATTAAAGTCTCTTAAAAAAAAGCATGCAGATGTTACTGTTAAGTTTGTTTACACTTTATAATGTATGACCTAGATCCAAATTAAAATTTGTCATCCTGGTGTGTTTTAAATTGGCACATTAATGAGTTGATTTATATAGAAAGTAGGAAGGTTGGAGGAAATTTTATATACAAAATACAGTAACTATGTGTATGTGTCTAATTTTAATCACACATGAAGCTGTAATTCAGTTGACATAGATATAATTGTTCTGATGTACATAATTCTCAATAGATAATATGAAACTTCCAGTAGAACATTGACCATCTAATTAAATTGTATAAAGAATTATAGGTATATTTGTCTTTCAACACAAATTAGATCCTTGGGTTATCACATAGACTTCTTTGGAACAAATGCAAATGTCAAATGATGAGTCTATGAACATTTTACAGAAAGGAAATGGAAGATTTACAAGATTTAATTGTGTTCTTATACATAACTCAGATTATTAAATTTATTCTCTCAAATCTTACAGAGCTTGAAATCATGCAGAATATGATCAAAATATAAGTAATTTCAGTATAACAACATTCACTATATGAAAAGTAAGTGAATAGTATATTATTTGATATGCTTTACTCTGAAGACAATACCGACAATGAGCAAGAAGATTTACCTTATGATGGAGATCTACAAGATAGAGGTCAATATAGTTGTGATTCAGAGAACTGGAAAGAATTTATTTCTGTAGAACATGTCTCCCCAACTGTTTCCACGTTGACATCTTCTCCTCTCAGCAGTCTGACAAAAGACAATTCAAACTGCAAAAAGCAATTATCTCAAAGGAAAATAAATACGGTGCTGTTGACCAAACAAAATGACATAGAATTTACCATGACAACAGAAAAGGAAATACAAGTTGGTGGTTTTACCAGTTCGGGAAGAAATGAAGAGTTTTCCAACTCAAAAATATCAGATGTCCTTTTACGTCATTTTTCAACAGAAGACTTAATGTGCCAATTAATTGATTCTGAGACTATCCCGGAGTTATCATTTACTGACAGTTTTGATGAAACAGTGCTAAAAAAAGATAAGATTTCAGAAAATACAGGCATATTTTCCCCAAAAGAAGAAATAAAGAATAGTGAAAAGAAAGTAAATTGTAATTCAGGTGTCAAAAATTGGGATTTGACTCAAGATAAGCTACCTTTAACAGCCAAGTGTGCTGTTGTTTGTAATAGCAAATACTGCAACATGGATAATTCACAAATTCTAATTCAAAAGGAACCTGGAATTAATGAAGACTTAAATTATACCTCTACTTGCAAAGAGTATCAAAATCAACAATATTTTCTGGATAATGCTGAAAATAATAATAATCATCCCCAATGCAATGAACACCAAGCTCATTACAGACTTTGTGATTCCTCTGAGATGTCCCCAAAAGTCAAAGAATTAAAAGGAAATAGTGAAAGCTTTGTATTTAAAAGAACTAAATCTTCCACACATTTGCTTGGTAAAGATGTTTTAGAAGCAATGACTTTTTTGGAATCTGATACAATCAGAAATCAAGGAGAAGAAAATGGAACTTTCAATCTTGATCAACAGCTAGAGGTAGATTAAAAGTGATTTGTCTGCATATAAACTAGGTCTGGATAAACTCAATAACTGATTTTTGAGTTAGATCTCCAAATCAATGTTGAAAACCTACTTTAAACATTTGTTAATTTAAATTAAATGCCAGGGAGTTTCTACTGGATTCTTGATTGGGGTTTTTTTGGGGGGGGGGGTGTGCAATCCTAAACCAACTTTGTATTTCTATTAATATAATGTTTCTTAATAAATATACATACAATTAAACTGCAATAAATGCAGTGTGACATACACGTGCTGAAGAATATTTAAATGAACTGAAATTCAATGCAACTTTAAACAAATAAAAATTACATATTAAGGATAGTTTCTGATTTTCTGCCAATTCCCCTTCCCCCTTATTTTTTTAAATAGAATTTATTGCTACAAAGAATCCTGGAATCAGTCTTTGAAATCAGTAGTGGTTGTGGAAATATTTTTCATTGTTCTTTATCATAATAACATAAATAATTTTTATTTATGCTATTAATTTCTAGTTTCCAAATCATTAATCCATTCAGTATAAATCTCTAACAATATTATAGTAGTAGCTAATTTATGACAATGTACTGGCTTAGGACTCTCCTTGCATGTGGCAAATTTCTACAAATTAACCTACTAGCTTTTCAGCTATATTTCTATTAGAAAAGGCTCGCTTTCCAGTTTTCATTTCTAATTCTATATTTTTAATATTTTTTCCCATTGCATCATTTCATTTTCATATTTTCTTTCATTCTGTTTTTTTTTTAGTTTTTAATGTATGCTGCCTTGAATCTGTCCAGTTTGGTGCCATATAGGTTTAATAGATAATAATAAAACTTCAGTAGTTCATATACTGTATGTTGTTTTCCTGTCTAATGGCATGTGTTTTACTCCCTTTTTTTTTCCTGAATCTAATTCTTTTTTTTTCCTTCACAGTTCTTGCAGTATTTGTTAGCAACTTAATGAATATGTCTCCTAGAAGTTAGAATGCTTTTGAGTATCCTATGACATGGATCAGCAAATCTGCGCCCATGGATGTTCAAGTGTCTATCAGTCCCCAAAATCATACCTGCAACCAATGAAAATTAATTAAACTACATTTTAATTCTACACTTCTCCAGATGTATGAAATCTTGCAAGATTTAGGCATTGTTAAGCAAGATCTCATGAGAGCTAAGTGTAAAATAGCTAAACCCTCATAAGATTTAAGGTGATTGGGGAACTTGAAATGGTCCTGACTACTGTCTTACATTATTATAAGTTGTAATGGTGCAACTAATGTTATGCTGAAAATACTAAAACATTCAAAAATGTTCTACTGCACCTTTTCAAACCACAGATGCTGACAAGACAAGCTGAGATTCAAAATCATACTGATCATCTGAGATTTAGTCCTAAGGTAAATCTTCCAGAATAAGAAATCAATTTCATTATGGAAGATAACTTCTTAATAAAATATAATGTATTTTTTTCTAAAGCCCTATCAAATTGTATGTTAGGGTACATAACAAACTTAAATTCTATTATTCCAGGGTACAATGACCATTTAAAATTAAATCGAATACAAAAATATTAAAATCTTATTCAGAAAGAATGTATTTTCTTGGCAATGAAAATATATTGACATAGATAAAAGTATGTTTTCCTAGAGTTTTCCATAAATAGGCATCACAGTTGAAGAAACTTTTCTGTATTTGATAACCTCACACTTCTGAAGGTGAGTAAAGAGTCCATACCATGTACTTAAGGAAAGAGAAATTCCTTGAAATTTTCATGGCCTATGTTGTGAGAATCTTGCTATCACTGTTGCAGACCTCAGTCCCTATTGCTAAATTATCTTTTGTGGAGCAACTCAGCACTTCTTGATTTCTATTACTGGTACTGCTGCAGTTTGTGATTAATATATTTATAAATTTAATTTTTCAAAAGTTGAGCAGGAAAAATAAAGGACCAATTAGCTGTTATCGTCCATTTTCTTTGTTTTTTTACAACACTGGTGTCTTAAATGATGCCTTAATTTTAATTCGTCTACTTTACCTTATTCCCTTAATTCCTTCCTCTACTTCTGAAAATTACGCCAAATGTTTTTTTCAAATAAAAACATGTTTGCTTTATTTTTCGCTATTCAACACCTTTTAGTCTAAAAATGTATTTCTCTTTCAAAGTATCCCATGATCAAAATTCATTGTGAAATCAGAGACAATAGAATTAATTCCCTAATGTATTTTTCCCTCTGACTTATTTTATATTATTTTTAGAAATATTTTATCTATGTGCTTGCCTTGTTTTTTAGGACAAAGTTCTGTTAAAGGATAACATAATTTTTAGTGTTGACGAAGTGTAATGTTTAGAAGTCTTAATTTAACACGAGGCTACTAAAAGGATGGGATAACTGAGAAAGGCAAGTGAGTGCTTTCTATTGTTAATGCTGATTTTGCACTTTTCTGTGAACATATATATTTTCACAGATACCTCCTTGTCCAAATTCACATACAGCAGAACTTAGCGGTCAAGCACAAAGTACGGGGATAACTTCCAAAATGCCTGCATTTTCTCCTGTAACCATTCCTATGGAGCACATGCTTGGTTTTTCCCAATCCCCTCATTCAGGTACTTTAAATAGGCTTTACAAAAAAGCAAGTTGTTGCTATTCCTAATTTGTTTTACTTTGTATACTATTGTCTTGAGAAAATTTTCCAGAGCTTTTATTTAATCTTCTTAATTTTGTTTTGTAGAATCACAGTCTAATAATATAACTTCTTCATTACTGTTAGCTAATGCAGTAAGAAAACCATCTGTGAACACTCCTTTTCTGCAAAATGTAACAGATGACAAGGAACAGATATTAAAGAAACAGACTGAAGAGCTGAAAGCAAATGTAATGCCACATGTTAATTTTTAAATGTTTGGAACTTGGCCTATTTTAACATCTGATCTGCAAGTTCAAGTGCAATGTATTTCTTTCCTTTTTTAAAGGTTGAAATATTTTCTGAGTGTATTAAACAGAATGTATTTTCAGTAGAAGAACACCTTCAGGTAAATTCAATTTTATATATACTTTTAAAAGACAGGAGCTCCATTTGAAGATTATCCAGCTCCATGATGTAGATCTGTAGATCATCATAATATATAGATCATGACGTAGAAGGGGGGGGGGAGGTCAGCCTAATCTCCAAAGCATCTGAATGCAGGACAAGAAGCAATGGATGGAAACTAATGAAGGAGAGAAGCAATCTAGAACTAAGGAGAAATTACCTGACAGAACAATTAATCAGTGGAATGACGCCTCTAAAAGTTGTGGGTGCTCCAACATTGGAGGTTTTTAAGAAGGGATTGGACAAGCATTTGTCTGAAATGGTATAGGATTTCCTGCCTAACCATTGGGTTGGACTAGAAGACCTCCAAGGGCCAACATTATTATTCTATTATCTGACTGTTTTTAATAAGAATTAAGTTTAATTTATTAAGCAACTTTAGGCTGAAGAGAAAGTTACATGTCAGAGACCCATCATTCTCATACCAATTTATTCTCTGCCTTGACATACAGCATTTCCTCCTGACTTAAAGTGGTGTGTTTTGAATTTTTTCTCATTGAAACAAACAAGAGGGAAATTTTAGATTTGATAATCTGTGACTTTATCAGAGAAATAAGGAAGCTCTGGATTCAATTTTTTTTCCTTCATATACCCTGTTTCAGCTGTTATAGGAACTTGGTCTTCTATGTTAGGGAAATATTTATCAACATAGCAGTCCCTATTCACATAACAACACATTTCATTCCATCTCAGTCTTCCTACACTGCCTTTGGCAGAGTTAGATATGCTATTAGATTCAGACTTCTGCCCATATAAGCAATACTGAGTGATTTTTATCATTTTGTAATACTGTAATAAGTGAAGCTAATTTATTGAGTACATTTTGTGAAGTAGATGGGTGAACACAACTATGACTTGAGTATTCTGTGTTGGAAGTTAACAAAATGGTATATTTTAAGTGTGCATTCAATATAGTTTTGTATGACAGAATGGAAACCACTAGTATACAGAGAATCCCTAGTCCCGTGGTACTGTATCACAATAATCACTTCTAGAGAGCAAACAGATGAATGAATGTTTTGTGTGGTTCCTCTTCTGTTAAATTGGACTGAGAAGACTACATGTGTATAGATGTCTCCTGCATGAAAAGGGCATGCAGAATTCTGCATAAAAATAATGTACCATTTGGATAGTTTAACACGAACTTATTTTCATAGAAGAGGTACTTAACTACTGAAGCAGCAAAATTATGACAGTCTCGAGGAATGAGTTTCATGGGTCGTGTTTGGCAGCATTTAAAGCTGGAGATCAGTTTAGAAAGTTGAATTTCATTCAGATTTAGCAATTCTATTTATGTTGTTTCTTCCAAAATTATTGGTATTATATATCTGAGAAGCATTTAACATTTCAATTTCTATTAATTGAATAGAATTATAGTAAAATTAATATGGAATTAAATGATTTTATTATTTTTTTGAATGAAGTTTTTGCAACTTTTAAAAGAACAACTGGAGCAATTGGAACGTTATTATGTAGCTACCAAGGAAAAGCATTATGCTTTGCAACGTCAAAACCATAAGCATTCATCAAGAAATATTGGAGAATTTGATCCTAACAGGTCCAGTATTAATGTTTTAAAATAATATAGCTATTTTTATTGTACTTTGTTAACATTGTAATCCAATCTTCTGTACTCAGAAATAAAACCTATTGATGCTTGATTTCAGTTAAAAAATATGTATTTGAAGCCTTTCCAAGTCCAGTATTTACTGTCATAATCTTTTCTGTTGGGTAAAATATTTAATATTTTATAATTATAAAGTAGTAATTATAATTATAATTAAGTATGAGCAGTCCAGAAACAAAACGTAAAATAACTGAATAGGTAGCAACCACTTCACCCTCCTCCCCCCCCCCGTCATAAATAAAAGTATCGGAGTAAGAACAGGTAAACTTTCTCTACAGGTAACTTTATTACAATTAAATAATTGTAGGCAACACAGAAAAATATAGCTGGAAGGTGAAAACTATGCCATTACTATTTCAAAGTAGAGGGCCCATTTATATTCTTGGTTCTCTGTAGAACTATCTACCGATTTTCTCCTCTAAATTGTTTCTTGCTAATCTAACTAGTATTTTCAGCAGACTGCAGTTTTGCATTTTACCATTCAACATCACTGTTTTCGGCAAATATTAAACATTATCTTTCAATTTCTCAGAAACAATATTTTCCAATTGTTCCATATCTTATCTTTCATAACATCTGATAATGAAAGAATAGAGCAAAATTAATATGTATAATTTTGGGTGGGGATTTTTTGTATTTGTATTTAGAAAAGTAGAAGGGGAAATATTTAAACTTGGGATGCTCCTTGAAGGTATCAAAGAGAAAATTGAGAAGACATTCACTTCATATTCCTCAACATATATAACATCACCATCACTCAGATCCCACCCATCTTCTGTTTGTTCAAGCTATTCTGCGGTAAGCCATTATTCTGTATTTTGTGAGTCTTAAAGACTGATTAGGGAATAAAGAAAATAATATATAATATATTGTAGTCTTCAAAGGAATAAAAAAATCATTTTCTGGCATTTAGTAGATATTGACTCTTATAAGTGATGTTTTATTTTTGTTAATTTCACCAAGAAAATTCATTTTAAAATTATAGACTTTTCTTCAACAGAAATAATTTCTCAATTATCCAGGTCTTATGGCAAGCCAGGTTATATACCTCTAATCTTAACCAGCATTTTGTAAGCAAAAACAGAACATTTTCAATACATTTATTTGCTGCATGTTTTAAATAGATATATTGTGCTTCCTATATTTCTCTTACTGCTTCTTTTAGAGTCCTTTGATTATAAGTACCAATGAATCTCCAAAAAGGAATATTGCAGGACTAAATATTTCCCAAAATGAGAACTATTGGAAGAATAAAAACCATCTTGTAGAAGTAGTTCCACAAAAGGCAGATAAAAAATCTATACAAGGTGACAGCAACCATCCGTTCCAGCAAATGTAAGGTTGAACTTTTACGATAATCACTGAATTATTAAATTTAGTAAGGATGTCCCTCTGACTTAGTTGAGATAATATTCCAAGCAAACTTGTAATAGGTTATTTTTACTCTCCAAAGATAAATTGAAAAGTAGACTATGTTATATTTTGAAAAATATGCAATAATACTAACTTACCAACTGAAATATCTCAATTGGCCAAGTATGTCTCAATCGGCCAAGAATATCGATCAAATTAAATTCAAATTGACTGAGATAGTAATCTGATACTATACAATGCTAATCTTCTTTTCATTTCCATCAGGAATTTAAATGATCTTCAAATAAGATCTTCAGCTCTAGCAAATTTTATATGCAAAGAATCTAATGAGGTTGATTTCACTTTACTGAATGAACAAGGTAGAACAAGTTAAAAATAAACATGTGTTTTAATAAATAATTAAATCATTCTAAGAAGAAGTACTCACTAATCAGTTTTTCCATAGGAAGGTCAACTTCAGATAGCTTTCTTGAGAAAGTGAGACATTCTACCGATAAGCCTAAAATTATTATACATCCTACACTGAAAATGCAGCTATCAAGAAATCAAATATGCTCCTGTTCTTCTAATAGGTTAGTATGTATATTGCTATACATAATATGAATCAAATCAGCATCCGTATCAATATAAAATGCAAAAAAACCCCAAAGTAATTTATCTTACGGACTTGCAAGCCTACACGTTTATTTACAAATGAGGTCAACTGAATTGTGTGTGTCTGTGTGTGTCTGTGTGTGTGTATACACATATATATGATTCAGTTGAATCATATATTCCCAGGTAAGTGAATATTAGATTTCAAGACAAACTTTTCTAGGAAGATCATTAAGATTAGCAAGATTTATTTCTGTGTAACCCTGCATGGGATTGCATCATTACCTGCATGTTTGCTGCAAAATTTCAATTAAGTCAATGTTTTATTTTTTTTTAATCTAGAAATAAAACAACAGAATACAGAAAAGGAAGTAGAGGACATTCTGATTGTGAAAGATTTCCGATCTTCTCTGAAGAAAAACCAGTGGATTTAGATGTAACAGGTATGTAAAACAAAGCTTCATTTATCTCATGTTTTAAGCTGTAACATGTTTTCCAAGCCAGGGCTCAAATGTGAAATATATAAAGTCAAAGAAGATGAAAGTGATTCAAAAATTAAGTGTGCAGTTTTTTCATCACTGAGCTATATTCAGTCAGATATGAACACTAGCAATATTTTTAAATATTATTAAAACCAATCGGTCAGGCATATTTAGGGCATATTAGTATTTATAAAGTTTTGCATTGTTATGATATACATTACTTACTATATACAGTAATAGTTTTATTATACACAGTACAGTACCTTATTATATACAGCAAAAGTGTTAGGCAGTTGTGCAAAAATGCTGTAAATTAAGAATGCTTTCAGAAATAGAAGCATTAATTTATTTTTATCCATTAACAAAATGGAAAGTAAATGAACAGAAGAGAAATCCAAATCACCCTTTGCCTTCAAAACAGTGTCAGTTCTTCTAGGTACACTTGCACACAGTTTTTGAAAGAACTCGGCAAGGTTCCTTCAAGGTTGCAAACATTTCAGAGAACTAACCACAGATCTTCTGTGGATGTAGGATATCTCATATCCTTCTATCTCTTCATGTAATCCCAAACAGAATTGATGATGTTGAGATCAGGGCTCTAAGGGGGCCAAACTATCACTTCCAGGGCTTCTTGTTCTTCTTCTTGCTGAAGATAGTTCTTAATGACACTGGCTGTATGTTTAGGGCTATTGTCCTGCTCAGGATAAATTTGGGGCCAATCACAAGCCTCCCAGCTTTTAAAAAACAATAACTCCCCTGAACTTTTCTGTTACTTCCTCTTCTTGGGATGGTTAAATTTAGTTAAAGTAAGATGGGAGTTTCTTTAGCCTCTCACAAAGTTGCTCTCCATCAGAAGTAGAAGAGAGGGTTGGGATTTTCAGATGGCCTTGAATCTAGTGTATATTAAAAAAAACACCTTGTGGTAATTTCTTCAATCTTCAGGTCAGAACAAATTTCTTATGTCAGAACTGCATTTAGGAAATTGCGATACTCACTTTTCTCTTATAAAAATACCAAACATTTAGACAAAGTAAAGTAATTCTCCATGTCCGTTGATTTATCCACAGTCTCTTAATGAATTAGGATTTCCTGTTACAGACATATAGAATATGTCATTTGCGATACCAATTGAAATTAAATCACAGAAATGATTCATTGGATCATCTTGTTCTTAGTGGTAAATTTAATTCCACATTAAAAAGATAGACTTTTCCTTTTGTGGCCTCTCAATAAATGGGCTAACAAAAATGGGTATGAAGAAATATTTGGTAAGCCAAATAATGCCTTGTTGTCCTGACTTTGTAAACTGACAAATCTGAAGTTCCAAAAGACAACTTTTATCACATCCCCTTCATTATTCCAAATTACCTTTTACGATTCTTTCCCTTTAACAGAAAGTCATTTGCATTGGTAAACCTAACCATCCTACCTTTGAACCTGCTAGAAGTACAGCTCAATAATATTCCTTACATTATCTACAATAGATTGCCTTTGCAAATACTTATAGGCAGCTGCAATCCTGTTGAATTTGTTGCTGTATCACGAATAATGCTTTATATTACTATACCCACAACTTCCTAGGTATAGGACCTGCACCAAGTCCAACATTGTTATTTCTTATTAAATAATATTTCACAGAAATATTAAATATTTCATAGAAATATTAAATAATATTCACAGAAATATTATTTTATAGAAACTGCTTTGGTGCATTTGCAATAAAAAATCAGTGAGCTTAAATTTGCCAGCCTAAAACAGCTGACAACCATTTAGGCTATTAAAATTATACTTACTGACTTATTGTTTATCATATTTAACAATTTGGATCTATGCATATACCTATTCATATCTACATTTTAAAAAGAAACCTATTTGGTTTGTACACATTGCTTAAAAACTGCATTATGACTACAAATAAAAAAACAAACGAACAAACTGAAAGATACTATAGAATGCTAATTAAAATAATAATTTTAGCTAGGGAAAGGTCTAAATTAGTCCCTAAATGGGGGTCATGACAACCAATTTTTGCCATATTATTCATTAATATACTGTGGTTAATATTGAGGCTCTTTCAATGACTGCACCATCAATCATGGTAAATTGCCTATTCTGGATGAGACTGCCCTCCCGTGATGGAGCAGACCAATGCGTGAGGGTGCCCTTGGATTAAGTACCATCTCTTCAGGCTCAATGATTTCTTTGCTTTTACAGAACTAATCTGTGGAAACACAAGTTTGCCGCAAGATAGCAGCAAAAAAAAAAAAAAATTCATTATACAAATACATTTCTGTTTATACCAGTAGCCCTCAATTTATGACCATAATGGAGCCTTTCCATCACAGACATATCGTGATAGTTACGAAGCGGGTCATCATGTGACTGAATATGATTTATTACCTTTTCTGATAGTGGTCGTCATTAAGTGAATCATTGTCATTAAGTGAATCTACAATCTTTAAGCAAACCTATTGTTTGTTATGGAGCATTTTTGCAGAAAATTGTACACTCCAGTTTTCAGCAAACCATTAAAAAATCGTGGTCATGTAAATCTGGGATGCTTTAAACCGTTGCAAATGCAGTGACATGACCACAGAGGGGGACTGGCCATCAAAGCTTCAGAACTAGGTCTTAAGTACCTTTTGAGAGTCCGTTGTAACTTCAAACAATTGCTAAATGATCAGTCATAAGTCAAGATCTGCCTGCGTTGCGTCGTATTTTGTACTGCTGTAGAAAAAATCCTCACAGTAAAGCAGAATTTGGCCCATAGTATGTAATATAGGACTTCATAGCAACATACCTTAATCTTTCATAGCCTTTATAAGTTGCTATCTCCTAGCAAAGAATTGTATTGCTAACTTCAAGGCCTCCTTTCCTAATAATTAAAAGGCAGCATTATAATAATTCAAAATGTTTTAATATTTAGGGCAGGAACTTTTGATACGTTTATTTAATGAAATATTTATTTATAATTATTTTCAGGTTCTTTGCAAAAGAATAACATTGCCCAGCAAAGGATTTGTAAAGAAGAGCAGAGAGAAGATTTTATAGACAGATTATGTGACAGGTAAAGTCTATTAACAGTTTGGACCAATCAATAGCCATTTATGCAAACTTGTACTTCGGTGAAACGTTAATTCTGCAGATATATAGAAGTTAAAAGGAAAAATTTGTAATTGTTGGATGTCTTTCCTGTTGTGCTTAAATGCTTGAAAGCAGCCTGATAAATAGTGCATAATTAACATCTTGATGTAAATTGCTGGATAGCTAGGCTTCTACATTTTGCATATTAAACATGGAATTTGCTGCATGAACATTTTTCATTTTCTTTTGCTCTGTCTTTTTAGGCAGAATCTATATATTCCCCAAACTTGCTATTCGAAGATGCATGATACCATTGTTCTTTCACCACAGTACCTTTCTGGTAGTAATATTAATGGAAAGAAGTCAGTCAGTAATAGGAGAAAAAGGCAAAGTAAAGACATAAGTAGCATGGTAAGAGAAGATCATTATTTATAAAAGCGATATTTTTTGGTAGTGGGTAGAAAGTTTGAGAAATTTATATTTCACACATTTTAAGAATTTTGAGTTGGTATCCTTTCAGTTCTGCTTTTTAGGCCAGGGGTCCCCAACTCCCGGTCCGTGGACCAGTACTGGGCCGCGGCATGCCAGCAACCGGGCCGCACAAACAAGCAAAGCCCTATCCGCGAGATGCAGGCAGTACACAAAACCACGCACCTCCACGGAACCGGTCCCTGGTGCTCAAAAGGTTGGGGACCTCTGGTTTAGGCAATGTCATCTACTGTAATAGGTCCCAGCAGACATGTCTGTTGGAATAAATCCCCTTAGATTTGGTTGGACCTGACCCTGCCTTTAAAATCTTGTAAAATTAAAATCCTGTTTTCTTCCTTGCATTGGATCTGGAAGCAGTATGATCTGTTGGATGAGGGGTTTTTTTCCCAGCACTTTACTGCATGTGTTTGTATGTGGCTACTTTGGTTTTTTTTTTTAATGCTTTGGTCTATTAAGTGGTTTTTGTTGACTTTCTATTGTTTATTGGTAAAGTATGCTGCCCTGCCCTGCCCTATATTGTATGCTGACTAGGGTGGCTATATGAACCAATCAATCAAATGACTAATTAAAAATAAATTGTTTAAACTAGTTAACAAAATATATTTGATGATTATGAAATCTTGACTTTAACAGATATTAAACTGCACTTTGGATAATGCTATACAGATGGCAAACAATTTGAAGACAACAACAGAACATATGATGCAAGCTGTCTCAGAAGATTTAGCCAACGTCAAAATTCAGACATTATCCAGTGGCATAGCTCATCAATACTGATAGTGTATTTTGAAGACTAATAAACTATATCTAGAGTAGAGGTGCTCTAGAGACTACTGGAAAAAGAAACTTTTCATGTTGTTTTTGATGTAGCTAAATTCTGTGTCCAAATAAATCTAATTATTTTCACGTACCATCTTAGATACACCATGTAGTACCTTCCTCTGTGTCAGATTACAAACTGTTTTGATTTCCGTAAAAGGTTAATGGTTCTTTATAATAAAATATTATAAAATAGTATGTATAATGTGTAATATGTTATCTACAGTGCATTCAGAAAGTATTCAGACCCCCTTCAGTTTTGTCAATTTTGTTATGCTGCAGTCTGATTCTACAGTTGTTGAAATTTTTTCTCATTAATCTACACTCATAATGACAAAGTGGAAACAGAATTTTAGAAATGTTGGTAAATTTATTAAAAATAAAAAATTGAAATATCACATTGGCATACGTATTTAGACCCTTTGCAGCAACACTTGAAATTTAACTCTGGTGCCCCTCCCCATTTCTCTTGATGGTTGCTGACATGTTTCTACACCTTGAATGGAGTCAACCTGTGGTAAACTAAATTGATTGGACGTCATTTGGAAAGGCACACACCCCTCTATAGAAGGCCTCACAACTGTAGCAATTGATACTGTAGCCGAGCAAAAGCCATGAAGTCAAAGAAACTGCCTGCAGAGCTCAGAGACAGGATTACTGCAAGGCACAGATCTGGGGAAGGCTACAATAAAATTTCTGCTGCATTAAAAGTTCCTAAGAGCACAGTGGCCCCCATAATACACAAATAGAAGTTTGGCACAACCAGGACTCTTCCAAGAGCTGGTTGCCCGGTCAACCTGAGCAATTGGGGGAGAAGGGCCTTAGTAAGAGAGGTGACCAAGGACCTGATGGTCACTCTGACTGAGTTCCAGAGATCCTATGTGGAGATGGGTCAGAGTTCCAGAAGGACAACTATCACTGTAGTCTTACACCAATTGGGTTTATGGCAGAGTGGATAGACTGAAGCCTCTCCTTAGTGCAAAACACATGAAAGCCCGTTTGGAGTTTGAAAAAAGCACTTGAAGGACTCTCAGACTGCAAGGAACAAGATTCTCTGGTCTGATGAAATTAAGAGTAAACTGGCCTCAATTCTAAATGTTATGTCTGGAGGAAATCAGGCATTGCTCATCACCTGTCCAATATCATCCCAACAGTGAAGCATGGTGGTGGCAGCATTTTGCAGTGGCGGTATTTTTCAGCAACGGGGTGGGAGACTGGTCAGGGTTGAGTGAAAGCTGAATGGAGCAAAAGACAGGGATATTCGCAATGAAAATCTGTTCTAAGGCGCCCAAGACCTCAGACTGCGCTCAAAGTTCACTTTCCAACATGAGAACGATCCTAAGCACACAGCCAAGATAACAGGAGTGGCTTAGGGACAACTTGTGAACGTCGTAGAATGGCCCAGCCAGAGCCCTGACATGAACTCTATTGAACATCTCTGGAGGGACCTGAAAATGGCTGTCCATTGACGGTTGCCATCCAACCTGACTGAGCTTGAGAGGATTTGCAAGGAAGAATGGCAGAATATCCCCCAATCCAGGTGTGCAAAGCTTGTGTCAGGTGATACCCCAAAGGACTCAAGCCTGTAACTGCTGCCAAAGGTGCTTCAAAAAAGTACTGTGAAGGGTCTGAACACTTAAGCCAATGTGATATTTCAGTTTTTTCTTTTTAATAAATTTACAGACATTTCTAAAATTCTGTTTTCACTTTGTCATTATGGGGTACTGAGTGTAGATTAATGAGAAAAAATGAATTTCAACAACTCTAGAATTTTGTCAACAAAATTGACAAAGGTAAAGCGGGTCTGAATACTTTTTGAATGCACTATACATTCATAAATGGAGCTAGTCAATACATGGACTCATATTCACCTCTTAAATACACCTCCAATGTTTCAGAGGTATCCATCAGCACCATCCCATCAACTTCCTGTTCACATCAGGAAGGACTGGAATCCAAACAAGTAGCAATGGACAATCAAGACAGTATTCTATTATTAAATAATAAACCATTGTGCCATCAAACATGTGTTTTAAATTAATAAATTACCCAATGATTTTAGTAAGAAATTGGGAGCTGTATTTACCAAATTTATGTGCTAGTGAAGGATAGTGTCATTTAAATAAGCAGCAATGTTTTTCTATTCTAATCCAATTTGTATCACTTTGAAAGTCTTAGCTATCAGTTATCCCTATTACTCAATTATCCCTGTTACATTACTCTTCATCTTCTGCTTCTACTGCTCCAATCAATACTGAATGTTGTTTGAAAGACTCCAATGAGGCAATTTTCCCAGGAAAAAATTGGGGAGGGAAATGACTAACTGGTCTGTACTGCAAATTTTAAAGATTCTCTAGAAACAACACATTCACCAATGTTCTTTAATTATGGTAAAGTGTTTATTACATACCTGTGTTTTATCCAAATACCATAGAAAGATCCATGCACTCCCAGATGCATAAATTTTAAAATTTATATCAAATTTCTCAGAAAAGAAGTTAGCTTTATATCTGTAGTTTACTGCAAATTGTTCTCAGTGAAATAGAAGTTGCATAGAAGTTTGTAGCTCTACATCTGTTAATTGTGAAATTGTGTTACACATTTATATTTTAAATTTCTTCCATAATTCCATAACATTTTGTAACCATATATTTAGAAACAGACATGTTTCATGATAGAAAGGTACACATTATTATTGAAATTATTAGCATATGTACAAACATGTTTTCCAAGTCTTAATGTAGTATGTTGTAGTGATGAACATTCTCTACAGTGAACATTTCACAATAAAAGGCCAGTTACTGTATAATGCAAATACAATATAAAATACAAGCTGTTGCATGCACTTCATTTACCACCTTCCCATTCCCCACCACAATGAAAAGCAGCAGTCTCAAATTATAAAAACACAATTCTAAATAACACTTATTTGTAAAATATTTACATAGAATACAACCCAGTTCCAATCAAGCACTTTTAAATACCCACTGATTTCAAAAAGAAGTTGCAAAAACAGTTTAACATTTCTTCCAGTGAAACCAGAGGACCTTAAAATGCTTATGTCCAGCTAGATTATATCCATAATATCTATAGCATGATTTTTTATCTGTTAAGTTAAGCAGAAATGAATGTTTAACTATGATCTCTACTCATCTTTCAAATATACATTATCCTTTGGTTTTGTTACAGTAAGTGCTTTTACATCATCCAGAAGTCTTCTAGGTGTCACAATGTGAGTAGATCCTGGTAAAAAAAATACAGTCATTAACATTAATCTACTACATTCATAACTCATCACTTTTAGAAAGAGCTGACATAGTCATACTCCACTCAGTAACAAGGATGCAGCTATAGAGGTGGCCAACAGTATTAAATATCTGGGGGTGCAGATAACTAACAACCTGAATTGGTCTCCCCACACCTCATCCTTAGTGAAGCATGCAAACCAGCATCTGCATTTCCTGCATCGGATGAGTAGAGCACATCTTTCTCCTTCTGTCCTGGCCACTTTTTACAGAGGCACAATTGAGAGCATTTTAACAAACTGCATCACTGTCAGGTTTGGTGGTACCAGTGCCTCGGATAGAAAGTCCTTTCAGAGACTGGTAAGGACAGCTGAGAAGATCATAGAAAGCTCGCTTCCTGGTATTCAGGATGCTGCTTCTAAGTGCTATGTGCTTAGAGCTCAAAGCATTGTTAGAGATCCCACACGCCCACTTTACAGACTATTTCTGTTGCTCCCCTCTGGAAGGAGGTTTTGAAGTATTTCTAGCAGGACTATCCGATTACGCAATAGTTTTATTCCGTATGCCATCCATCTGGTAAACTTGCAAGATTCATTTTTCTCGCCATGCACATGTATACATAATCTGAACTAGATTGTGTTGTCTCTCTATGCCATATAATATATGTGGGTATATGCGTAATTCTGTATTTATTTATTGTTGTCATTTATGTAGTATATATTGGAGGTGGTGACCCTTTGAAAACTGTATGCAATAAAATTTCATTTTTAATGTATGCCGATTAGTATACATTCAAAGTGACAATGAAGTTATTATTCTATCCTATTCATAGCAGACTACATTATTTTTCTAATGTGCAGAAGAAAAACGTAATGGCGTTTTCATTTTAAAAATGAAAAACTTGATACAGTTCCATTAGAGAGTAAGGACAAAGCAACTGCAGGGGCATTCATACCAATTTTTAAAAGAGATATTTATATCCTGCTTTTATTATACTTATAAATAACTCAAGACAGCAAATTTATCTAAGACTACTATTACTCCCATTTTCCCCATAGCAACAACCCTATGAGGTAGGTTGGGCTGAGAGAGTGTGACTGGCCCAAAGTCACTCAGCTAACTTTCATGCCTAAGGTGGGACTAGAACTCACAGTCTCCTGGTTTCTAACCTGGTGCCTTAACCATTAAAACAAACTTGATTTCTAAAGTAAAGAATCCAAGTTTGTTAAGTAACATTCAGAAATTTGCATCCATGACAATATATCATTTTCCCACTTGAACCAGGGTTCCAAAGACTTTTCTTTTAACTAATGTTCAGCAGCCTGAAAAAAGTTTGAAAATCCTCAGGCAAGACTGGAAAATGTGGTCTAAGTATGGAGCTGAAACATATGTAGTCCAGATCAGGAATGCAAAAATAAGGCAAACTTTCATAACAGCACCAGCTAAATGTGACTAGGAAAAGTAAGGACTTAATATTCAGAAAAACTGACAGACTGGTTAGACATGCAATGGTTTCTTGCACCATTGCTCCTAAATTCTAGCATAGTATCTCTGATTTTCCTAGTTTATTTCTTTCCCCATTTCCTTTAAGCTGCTTCTACCATTGGTTAGAGTGCAGTATTGCAGACTAACTGTGCCCACTGCCAGGAGTTTGATCCTGACCGGTTCAAGGTTGACTCAGCCTTCCATCCTTCCAAGGTTGGTAAAATGAGCACCCAGATTGTTGGGGGCAAAATGCTGATTCTGTAAACCACTTAGAGAGAGCTGTAAAGCACCGTGAAGCAGCATATAAGTCTAAATGGTATTGCTATTTGTAAATTGCAATGAAAAGCCTGGCAGGTGGAACAGCACAGAAGCCATACAAAAGGGAAGAGGAGAGAAAGAAAGGTAAAATATACCAGCCTTGTCCTATCCACTCCTTTAGACCTTTCTAGAATTTACCTTAGCAGAAGTCATTAAGCAAATGCAGTGGTCATAAATGCAAACTCATTGTTTGCACTCATGGGTGCTGCTTTGCTGAAAACCAAAAATGCCTGTTTGGAGCAAACCGCTGCAAAACAAGGTCATGTGAGTGTGGAATGCTGCAAACAGCCTAAATGTGGCTGTGTTGCTGAGCGCCATGGGAAATACAGCCTTGGACATCTTGGGAATGGGGAAGGCCTTGGGAGGGCCAGGGCAAGAGGCCCCGTGCCTGTGCTAGGCTTCCAATGGCCTCCCCCACCCAGGAGGCACCTTGCACTCCGCTTAATGACCCACACGTTCATTTAACATTTCATTAGGGAGAGCAGGGATCAGGAGATTAGATGAGATGTTTTACCTAATGACTGCCAAGGCATGCGACCATAATGATCATATCTCAAGAATTTTCTGTATTCAAAAGATAGGCAGAATGGCTTTCCCTATAATATGTTTGTGTTATTTCATTTTCACCGTTTCTGTCTTTGGCTCTTTGTAAGCTTTTCCCCTTTTTTATATATTAAAGCAACAAAACTATACTGAAAAGCAAGCTTACCAATAATAACTTCACAAGACTTGTATGCCTGAGAAACTTCATAAGCACAACGTGTCTCTGAATACGTAATGCCTCCAATGACAAACACAATCAACTTTGCACCACTCTTACGTTCATCCAAGTAACTAGTTTTGGGTTTATGACGAGCACTGTAAAGGGAAGTACACAGAACTGTTCAAACTAATTATCAGGAAAACAAGGAGCAATTGTGTCAAGTACATTTAAATTCCTAACCTCACTGCTCCTGAACCATTCCAAGGTGCTGGGCACTGGGAACAATAAGGCCACTCTTTTGAATCTAATTTATTTTCTATAGCATCCTAGAAAACAAAGAAATATGACCCTGTTATATTATTCAAAGATTCACATTACCTGTAACCAGCAACCAGATTGAAAGTAGCAAAATTTCTTAGATTAATAGGTAATATATTAACAAAAAATTAGAACAAAAGTTGCCATTTATGAATCATTTTCTCAATGAAAAGACATTTCATAGTTACCAATAATTTATGTTCAACAATCCAAATATTTATCACTACATGTCTCCAAATATTTATCACTTCATAAGGACATGAAGTGATAAATAAATAAGAACATTCTAAGACAAAGCATCTTGTTTATATAACTGAATAATTTTTTACTTGTACACTAACATTAGAAGGGAGACAGAGCTAAATACTACACACGGTAGTATGTAGTCAGTTTAAGGAATTAAAAATGCCATTTATTTCCAGCAAATATTTGTTAGTGTTCTCTCTCTCTCTCTCTCTCTCTCTCTCTCTCTCTCTCTCTCTCTCTCTCTCTCTCTCTCTCTCTGTGTGTGTGTGTGTGTGCACGCGTGCGTGCGTGGGGCTTTCTATTAAATCTTTGAAGAAAAGCACTTCTTTTTCAATATTTTCAATATTTAAATATATTCTGGGATTCTTCTTAAACTATTTGGCTTCTTCAAAGTACTTTCTGCATGCTACTCAAATGCTAAGAACTGCAAAAAATTGTGTGTGTGTGCGTGCGCGTGTGTGTGAATGTCCAAATATGTCACTAGTTAACTTTCGTTAAAGAGAAATGGACATTAATAGTTTTTCAAATTCTGCAGAATAACATTTTTCCGTAACCCAAGGATTCAGCATAACTAAAAGTAAATAATTGTTCCATTAAATACACGCATATCCACGAGTTATGAGCATTATGAGCATTCACTTAACGCTTGTTCAGTTACATGAGCGCCCCCTAGTGCTTATGAGCAAGTCCCGAAATTACGAATTTTGCAGCAACATGGCAGTCGTTTGCTCTTACGAGCGACCGCAGAGTCTCTGCAACATTCACCCTGGTTATTCCCTCCCTCCCAACCGCTGCCCGAGTCTCCCTAGGCACCAGGCCTTCAATACTCACCCTGCGAAAATCGAGATCCTTCGCTTTCTTGGCTGCTCCAGGCCTTCGGTGCCTTCGCAGAGAATAGAAGCCTAAAGTAACACAAGATCATGCGAGATCAGTGGGGCAAGATCTCATGCTACTGATCGCACGTGATCGCATGGTACTTTAGGCCTCTGTTCTCTGCAATAGAGAACGGAACCAAAACAAGGGGATGCTTCCACATGCCTCCGGAGGCTGGATCGGGGCATCAGAGGCCTTTTCCAGACTGCTGCTGTCCGGATCTGAGGCCGGGGGATACTTCTGCAGCCCCCCTGTGGCCCAATCCAGGCTCCAGAAGCCTTTTCCAGGTCACTGACACCCGGATCTGAGGCCGGGGGAATGCTTTCGTAGTTCTCTGTCATCCCGTTTCCAGGCAGCAGCAGCCTGGAAAAGGCTTCTGGAACCCGGATTGGGCCGCAGGGGGGCTGCATAAGTGTCCCCCAGCCTCAGAACTGGGCGGCAGCAGGATCCATGGCAGAGAGGAGATGGATCTTTTCCAGGTGAGTCTGGTGCGGCAGGAAGGGAAGGAGAAGCATGAGGTATCTTAGTGGGTCGGGGAGGCCTTAGGGGCCTGTTCCATCACTAGGTCCTCCATGGCCCTCCCCACCCTGAGATACCTCATGTTCACTTAATGAGCCATATGCGTTTTAATGAGCAAGGGAGTGATCTTCCTTGAGGTACAAGATTCACTCTACCAGTTTTTGAGTTATGAGTGGAATGGGCATTACACTCCATTACACTAGTAACTCAAGGGCTACCTGTATACACTCACATCCTCTCTTTAAAATTTCTGCTTAAGCATTTTTCATGAAAAATTTACCTCCATGATATCTTTAACAATGGGTGTCCATCTAGAAAGCTGAAATGTTTCTTCTGAAGAGCGATCCCTTCTGGATGATCTTCGTTGCGTTGCAGACTAAAACGTCAAATGTTTATTATCATCTAAGAAATCAGATATTCAAACAAAAATCCACAATAGGTACTCCTCCTAAGTTGTAATTTAGCTGTTTGCTTTGTTCTTCATAAATCTAAATTATCTACCCTAGCCTGAGATTCACTAAACATTTCTCTTTTA